CCCCAAAACCCCAAAACCCCAAAACCCCAAAACCCCAAACAATAATTTTGGATTGAAGATTAACATTTATCCTGGTTCCAGAAATCATCAATGTACCTCTCAACATCTCTGTTGTTGTTCCTTGAACAAGCTCTTTCTGTGAAAAGAGGGCATAGGAGTCTGAAAATAGTCAATATTGTTTTGTAAATGGTTGAAGCCACGTAGATCAGGATTACATAGCTGTATGAAGCAATGAAGACCCAAGAATGCCAATAGAGGAGAGCTACACGGGAGGATTTATCACAGCTATGACTGATTTTGTTGTTGTGATAGCTTGCCACAAAAACACATCCCCAGATTGTGGCAGCGAGAGATGTCATGATCAACCCTAATGATAATAGTGAGTTTGTATACAAAGCTCGAGTCCTATAGTTATATTAATTGAAATCTTACCAATAAAAATCATATGTTCTAAAATAATCCTTTGCCACGTCGGAGGCTATCTTGTCCTCTAAGAGCATTTTCTATATAACAATGAAATTTGAAATATCTTGGAGAATTCAGAAAAATAACCTTTATCTCATTGTCCCCACATACTTAAAACTAGCTGAAGGAAAAGTATGAGAATCCAAGTTTCAAATTGATAGTTATCTGCATTTATACAAATAATTCATATAATCTGAAGGAATTCATAGACAATCTCACTTACCCTTTCTTTCCTAGAAGATGAAATCTGAGCAGAGATCATCAGGCAAACAGCCATTATTATATTCAAGAAGAGCAAAATTTGGTACCAGAGCCTGTCACAGCCATCAGCATTCGATCTCTCTCAGCACTGGTTGTTTGGCCCACCTGCAAATTGGGACAGGATCAACATTAAGAAGTTGACCCAGATAGGGACCAATCTAAGCATCACTTGTTAAGCACTTACAGGCAGTATTTGATGACTCCTTTGGAGATGTAGGGGAGGTTGAACATGACCCTTCTGTCATATAACCAGGCTATGAAAGCGAACTCCATTTTGAATTATTATCAATTTGGGAATTATAATTGGGGTTTTGGGGTTTTGGGGTTTTGGGGTTTTGGGG